TTGGATTTGGTGCTAAAATTCTGCTTCAAGATGTTAAAAGAAGCAGGGCGGCGGGGAAAAGCCAGGATGGTCATTTCAATCATCTCTGGCTTTAGTGAACCACCTGAAGGGTTTTCGCAGAGTTTTTCCCAACGCTGAAAAAAACCTGGAAATTTTGGACTTTTTGGGAGGACCGGGGATGACTCCGAGGCGCATTTTTAGATGCTTTGTCAGAACCTCATCAAAAGACGCATCCTTTGCCATCGCAGCCTTTAACACAGTGTCTGGGGAGCCAAACTCCTTGATGAGGCATTTGGTCATTTTCTTGATGAACTTTTTCTTGTCCTTCATCAGACTTGTGACGGACTCTGTGCTGCTGAGTTCAGGCTGCATCAGATCTCTCAGACGCTTGAGGATCGCGTCAGGTTCTTTTGTAGTACATGCTGCCCTGGCAAAAAAGTGCTGAGTTTCAGGTTTGGATTTTCTGATGACTCTCATCATGAGGAGAACGGCGAGGTCACTGGAAATTTTCTCAGCATCAGAAGATGACGCTGATACAGACCTCATCTCTGACATGTCAGAGGAATCCTTGGGTGAGCCTGAAACACTGGCAGAGCGTTTTTGTGGGGAAATGCTCCCAGACTTTGGTGACTGATCAGGTGTCTGATCAGGTGACTGATCAGGTGACTGAAAAGGTACCACAAAGCATGTTTCTGGGGTACTGCTCCCAGACTTTGGTGACTGATCAGGTGACTGATAAGGTACCAGAGAGCATGTTTCTGGGGTACTGCTCCCAGACTTTGGTGTTACAGGTGTCGGAACATATTCTCTTCCACTTCCATCTGAATCTGTGCTGGTTTCCTTTGTTGGGATCTTCGTTCTTTTAATAATGTTCTGGATTTCTTCCACAGCCACAGAAATTTTGTCCTCAATCAGGTGATCTTCGTCTTCGTTCTCCACCCAGAGTAAAAGTTTTTGTACAAACTTTTCTACTGCGTCTTCTACGAGCACATAGAGGACTTCAGCAGAAAAGGGAGGCTTGGATCCATGTGCTGGTTGTGGAGTCCTGCAGATGACGGTGTCAGACAGGGATCTACCCATTACAGGTTCGGGGACTTGATACCGTCGATCCGTCATAAGTAGATCAAACATTTTTGCCGTTAACTCCACAGTGAAATCTCTGGTTGCTCCACCAGTTCTAAAGTTTTCCACTGTTTTGTGGATGCTGAAGAGTTTTTCTTCCTTTGTTAATTTCTCATACAACTGATTAACGTCTGATCTAATCGCGTCGAAGTCGACGGGAGAGGAGCGTATGTAACGGAGCAGTGTGTTTCGGCTGGAAACCGTACTGTTATCAGAGGGCACCGTGTCACCTTTGGGGTCCTTGCAAATGTTTTTCAGACAAACAAGAAATTTTCTGTTTGCCTTTATTACTTTTCTCAGGTCTTTTTTCGTTGTTTCAAATTGTTTTCTGGCAAACATGGAAAAGCGCTGTTTGCGTGCTTTGAGCCGGGAGTGAGAGGTGGATTGCAAACATCTGGAGAAGAAGTCTCTCAGCTTGTTGGTAATTAATCCTGCATTAAAGGCAGGACTCCTCTCACAGGGCTCTTCGCTGCTTACATCCATGTCGCCAATGATCTCATTTACGATGTCAGCTGCAACCACTTCTACTGGGGTTGCAGCCCGGAAACTTTGGCTTCCTGCGGCTCGTTTTGTTTCGTCCTTTTCTGTTAGAGTTTCTTCCTCATCTTCATCTGTCATCTCTCCATCTGAGCTCCTTGATGACAGAATCACAGAAATCTCTTTGATTGCTGATTGCACGGACATCTTTGAATCCGTACTTTCTGTACCGGAATCAGAGCCGGTTATTTGGCAACAGAAAACCTCGCATGCTAGACCGAAATTCACTTCCGGTCTTCTCGGCCTTGGAATGATCTGGCTCTGTGACGTCACAATCACCCTGGTAACTCCCAACAGCTGAGCGACAAGTACTGATAAATGTTTCGCTGCACACTGTGAAATCTAATATTGTGTTTAATTAAAAATATTAAGTAGCCTGAACTCTTTTTTTACATTTATTTTTAGGTTTGTTTGTGTTTTCTAATCAAATTGTTATTAGAACTCAGTTTAAGTAAGTTAGCAGTTCTTTTAATTCAAGAAGCTGATCAAGTCAGTTTATTGAGTACGCTGGAAATGTTGCTTCTCAGTGCGGAGGGATAAAACGATAAGGTTTTAACATTCCACGTCGTTACCTTCCTTCTCCCTGGCACGGATCACTCCGCGTGTTCGTGGTGCCCACGTTTCTCTGTGGAATATGTTGAGCAAACCTGTGGAAGCGTCAGCTCAGGAAAATCTTGTTGCCATTGCTGTGATTCTTCACGTGATACAGTGATTTGGTGAGTGAATGTTTACTCTTATTCAAACTGTTTTTGTGGCTTCTCGCAGTTTAGCACCAGGTGCTAGCTAGCTAGTGTTAGCCTAGCATTGCTGCTGCCTCTCAGCTCATGTTACTTAAAAATGAACCCCACAGCTTATATAATTGGCCATGTTTGCACAGCCCTTTTTAAAAAATATGCTTTCATTGCATTATTGTGTGTGGGGTGAAGGTCAGGGCTATCCAGACTGACAAGTGGGACACCTCCTGTGGGGAGGGAGCCTGAGATGGTCTAAATTGGGGTCTGTTCAATAGCAAATGCAGAAAAAAAATGTTCTAAGAAAGCAAGTAAGTTGGTGTTCTAAAAATCTGATTGTTTGCCTGCATGACAGCAGGAGAGATGAGTCAATCCGTCACTGAAGATGGTCACCTGCAGGTTCACGCTCATTGCATCTCCAACCCAAATCCACTGCCACTGTCCTTAAGGGAAGTTAAAGACTTTCTTCTGCACTTAACATTTGGATCAACTAAATCCATGACCGTCATTCAGGCAGTAATGCCTAGACTGGAAACAAACCATCCTTAAAATATTACTGCATACCAGCTTCTGTGTTTGAATGCAAAACAAATGTGTTGTTTAAACTAGAGACTGCACTTGTGACTGAACAATAAATACATTTATTTTGATTATATAAGTAATGTAAGTACAAAACAAAGTTGTGGAAAGCCTGAAAGTAGTTTCAGAATAATGAAATCTTTGTTTCATTGTCACATTCTAACAACGATGGTAATATAATTGTTTGTTGTTAAGCAGAACAGTGTCCAGTATGTTGGCTCATATACTTTATGACATTTGAAAATCAAGTTTGGGCTGATTTTAACACCATTACAAGAACTGCAGTTAATTATTCTTTTTTAATCATATTTTTATTCAATATTAATATAAAACCTAATGTGATTTTAAAAACAGAAAAAAGTAAGTTAGCACAAATAGTTTTTAATTTAGTAGAACTTTGTTTGTCTGAAAGTAAACATTTAGTTCTGCACAGCCGCTGAATACTTGCAATGAATAAGTTTTCCTAACGTAGTTTTGCTCCATTTTTTGAGTTCTGGGAACAAATTGGATTTTGCATAGAGACTCTGTTTTTATTTGATAGTGTTTGATTTTGGGGAGCTCAGACTTTCAGCTTTAACTGTTCAGGACCTGCAGATATTTAGAGGATTATGTATAACAGGGCAAAGAAAATCCATAAAAATACTTCATTTGTTAGATGTATGTTGTAGATTTGTTATTGTTATTTATGGTTCTCTGAAATACTGGCAACATTTCAAACTTGTACTGATGTACACAGTGTCTTGATGCATGCTCAATCATCCAGGTAAGGAAATCCCAAAAGGTTGATTCTGCTCACCTGGATGTTTTCAGTGCGAGAAACGTTTTGTCACTCACCCAGGTGACCTCTTCAGGCTCAGCTGGCTGCAGTCAGCTCCTCCCACTGAAACGTCCAGATGAACAGAATCAACCTTTTGGGATCCACAGTGTGGTACTTCAACAATTTATTATAATATTACACTTTAAGCTCAACACCCTTAGTTTTTATAATCTTCTGTTTATTTCAATGACAAATTTGAAAAAAGTAATTTTGCTCAAAGATCCAAACTGCAGCTTCTGTTTTTGATTTCCAGCCCAGTAAACAGAGCTGTGATGTTCCGTATCCCAACATGAAGATTCTTTTTCTGTTCTTAACCTCATTTAATCTAAAATTGGATAGAAAGCAGCTCTGATATGTGATGCACTGTCTTGGTAATAGTGTATTTCCTTCTTGTTGCTCTCACAGCAGCTTTTAAGGCACACAAAGGATCATTATGATCTATAGCTATGTTGAAAAGGAGGTAATCCTCAGAAAACAAGAAGCAGCACAGCTGAAGGCTGCTGGTAATAACTCAACTCACCAGTGACTGCAAATCACGTGTTCCGGTCAATAGTTTAGCGTGATAGCGTGGGCTTTTTCTGCTTTATGGCTCCACTGGTTTGTGTTTCTCTATGAAGGCGTTCAATAAGCTCAAAGTCACCATGACAGTCACGCCTATGATGAGTGTGTGGAAACCTCTGAGCCAAACTGTTCCTTCTAATGAGAGCGATTTGTCAGCATATAAGCTGCAGTCGCAGTTAAACACACCAACCAAAGAAGCGGAGGTGGATAGATCCATCTTTGACAAACAAACAGTGGCTTTGATAACAAAGTCCACCTTATATATAAAGTTTGTCTCAGTTTCTCTGTCATTTAAACACATTTGGCTCTTTGGTCACATAGACTGTCAGAAAAAATAGTTTTAGATTTTGCAGTTGTTTTAATATGCATATACCCTCATTCTTTGCATCTGAAATGATCCATAAATATGTCAGCGAAGCACACTCACATGATAACGAGGAAACACAAGACAGAGAAACACCTCTGTGACCTCTGAGCAGCTGTGAAACACCCCTGTGTGATATTCTGGACCCTGAGCAGACGTCGCGTCCAGAGGAAAACGCATAACAAGGTCAGACCGGGACCCGTCTCTCTCTCCATCACACACACGGATAAACACCACCGTGATAGGATGTAACTCTGAGATCCTCGCTGTCAACATCAGCTAAGATGTTCTACTGGACAGAGAAGAAGCATTCCTCTTCTTCGGTTAGTTCAGTTTGATTCTCCTGAAGACAAGAAGAAAAAAAGAGTTTTCATGTTTTTAAAACAGATTTCACTACAATTTTCACCAAGGTTACAGAAATCGTCTTTAAAATGATTGTGTAATATTGGCATCTGCCACCTTTTTGACTTTATTTTATTTCCCATCTTTCAAGTGATCAGAGCCAGGTAGGTTTGGAGATCGGCTTTTCCTTAATCCATGAAAACATCATTTAAAAACTGCATTTGGTGTTGACATCATAACAGGTAAAGACGGGAGAAAATACAAGTTGTTGCTTTGGTGCATTTTAAGTCAAATAAGTAATCTGTAAATGTCTCTGTCATTGGTTTGCGATGCTTTTGACCCTCTGCGACCCATATCCCGTCATGGTACGACAGTGTGAAAAACTCAAATCCGATCTGGGTCACTTTCGTATGTGGTGCTGAATCCAATACATATCCAATGTTTTAGAAAGCTGCTGTTTGATGGTCATGTCGCATTAAATCCGTCTTTTACGTCACTGACACAAGACAGACGCCAATTATCAGCGCCGGAGAAGACATCGCGAACGCTTCCTGTCCATCCGGTGAAACTGTTGGGAAGACAACTTTGGAGAAACTTGAACATTTTATTTGTACTGTATAATCTGCAGATTCTGACAGAAATCTGCAGCTATCCTTTGAAGCAGCGCTCCTCTAAAACAGCAACAAGGATCATTATTAGGCCAAATGTAAATAACAAAATAACTTTATGACTTAAAGCAAAATCGGGAAACGTAAAGTCTGAAACAAGTCTTTATATTAAAGCCATCTGTCAAACAATACTGTTGGTCTGGGTCTAAACAGAGCACGTTGTGTGTGACGTCGGGCCGCTTTGAGTGTTCACACTAGAGCGCGTTTGCTGTCACATTTTATCTGTAGTGTGAACGAGCAGACAAAAAAATCGAATTTGATCAAAAAATCGGAATTGAGCTTTAAGACCTGCAGAGTGAACGTAGCCGGAGACTTGTGTTTGTAAGTGAACCGCCCCATGTTGTGTAGCTTTATTGGGCTACATATTTATTTATTATACAGGCTACACAGAACATAACATCCAAACTGAGTGAGTGCAGGTCTGTGTGAGTGTACATGCTTATGTGTGCGTGTGTGTGTGTTCCATGTTCAACCCAGAGAAAGCTTCCCTTCACCCAATCTTCGATCAGTGCAGGTGGCCTTGAGTGAGGGGAAAGAGTCGCAACACAGTTTTGTTATCTAAGGGAGAATTTCTGTTATTCCTGTCAGCTTTTGCCTTGAGCACCGGGGGGGGGCGGGCGCATGAGATGAAGATGGTAGTTGTTTTGGTTGGGGTATTGCACAGGAATGAGCAGCAGTACAAACTGAACAGTACAAATTTCTTTTGTTTTATTTTTTGTGGCAGTTGTTAACAGAGATGGGCAGTAACGCGTTACTTGTAACGCGTTACTGTAATCTGATTACTTTTTTCAAGTAACGAGTAAAGTAAGGGATTACTATTGCAAAATCGGTAATTAGATTACCGTTACTTTCCCGTAGGAACGCTGCGTTACTGCGTTACTAAAACCGTGATTTTTTTTTGCGAGAATGTCTCATGACAGTGACGTAAGCGAGTGCGACGTTGGTGACAGCAGCTGTGTGCAGATCAACAATGGATAATATATCGAGTGCAGAGAGAGTATGAGCGTGCAGCGTTTAAAGCGTGGAAGTACTGACCTTACTTTGAGTTTGATTCCATAAAAAGTGACAAAAACATTAGTGTCCGCTGTGCGTGGGAAGAAAACTTCTTTTTACAGCGAAAAAAACCCCTAAACTTCCAACAAGCACCGAGTAGCTACGACGTAATGGGAAACTCACAGAGAAACTCGCGGATTCTTCCACTGACCGCGGCACACCTGCACCAGGGTAACCCTCCGCCTACCCTGCTCCTGCTTTACAGGTAAAAATAGAGCAAAAGGACCGCTGAGTCTTTGACTTTATTTATTTTCTGCTGCGTTTTACTTGCATCTATTTGAAAGACTGAGTGTAAACACAAAAAATATTTTATTTTATGAGCTGGAATGTGTAGAAAATAGGTTTAAATGTTAAACTAATTTATTCAAGTCAGAGAATGTTGCATATAATTAAATGTTTTGCTTGATGCATAAAGTTAAAAGATTAAAAATGATAAAACAAGTTAAAAAAAGAGACTTTTCCATTTGATTACATTTTGTATGATGGATTATGTAGAAAAAGTAGAATTGGGCTGAAAGATCTATCGCTTTATCACCTCTTCAGGTTGTAAATCGTGTTTTTAAAAAGTAACTAAGTAACTAAGTAACTAAGTAATTAATTACTTTTGAAAATAAGTAATCAGTAAAGTAACGGGATTACTTTTTTGGGGGAGTAATCAGTAATTAGTTACTGATTACTTTTTTCAAGTAACTTGACCAACACTGGTTGTTAAGCAGTATTGCACTTTTTTAAAAAATATAAATATCAATAAAGTGGAGTGACCAGTGCAGATTAAACAGAGTACTTGTGAAGCTGCAGGTAGCTTCTGAGTGCGTCCTGTGGAGTGTGTGTGTGTGTGTGTGTTTAAGTGTTGTGGTTGAGGTGTCGTATGGCTTAGTGGTAGAAACTGTTTTTTTAAGTCTTGTAGTCCGAGCAGACAGGCTCCTGTAACGTCTGCCAGATGGTAACAAGAACAGCTGATGTGCTGGGTGGCTGTGGTCTTTGATGATGCTGTGTGCTTTACGGAGGCATCGCTGGAGATAAATGTCCTGAATGGCAGGAAGCCTCGTGCCAGTGATGTGCTCTGCTGCCTTCACCCTCTGTAGTGATTTACGGCTGCTGGCAGAGCAGCTTCGTACCAAACCGTGATGCAGCTCGTCAGCAAGCTCTCGACTGCACACCTGTAGAAATTTGAGGTGATGTTGGAGTTCATGCCAAACTTCCTCAGCCTCCTCAGGAAGTAAAGCCGCTGGCGAGCTTTCCTGATAGCAGTGTCTGTGTGAAGGGTCCAGGAGAAGTCCTCAGTGATGTTGACTCCAAGGAACTTGAAGCTGCTGACCCTTTCGACCTTGACACCGTTGATGTGGATGGGCTGGTGTTCCCTGACTGGTTGGTACTATCATCTCTCTAGTGTTGCTGATGTTGAGAGTCAGGTTATTTTCCAGGCACCACTCGTACAGCGCCATCACCTCCTCTCTGTAGGCCGTCTCATCGTTGCCTGTGAAGAGGCCTATGATGGTTGTGTCATCCGCAAACTTGATGATGATGTTGGACTCGTGTTTAGCAACACAGTCATGTGATCTGATGTCCAGTATGGCGTTACCGGGTAAGTTTCATTTCTAACCTTTCAATTTAAGGCTTTCTTGTTATTTCTGATTATAAACAGTTTGAACAAAGAAAGCACATGACTGTCAGTACACCATATAAACACAAGACAGGCAGCAGAGGCGGGTAAAGGGTAACAGAGCCGGTGTAGACGGCGCATCCGGTCCTCCAGCATGTCTGCGCTGGTCCAGTCAACCCGCCATCTACCCCGGGAGGAGACAAGTATCGAAGGCATTTGGAAAGGGGGGATGAGTGTGTATCAGTGTGTCCTGAGTTTAGCTGAGACAGTGTCCTTTGCCCAGCCAGGCTAAGTAAACAGTCTTCCAGCCGACCCAGGTGGCCTTGCGTAGGGGAGGAAGGAACAGTCTAAACACCGTCTGTTATCAGGGTGAGAATTTATTGTGTTCAGCTCCAGCCCTGAGACCACAGCTGGAGCCGATATGGTGGCTGCATGAAATGATGGTTGTTTTGTCACGGTCTGCAGAGACAGGCCGTGCGGTGGTGTGTGTAATGGACCCAGGTGCGTACACAAGTGAGTAGATGGGAGTGAACTTAACAGAAAGCGAGCCTTTATTAGGGCTGAAGACAACGTGTACAACCAAGCAGGGATAGCGTGACTAGACTATAACTAAACTGGGAAAACTAATACTGTGACAAACTAGGAAAACTCAGAGACGAAGATGATCACTGAAAAGACTGACCGTGAAAACATGGAAGTGAGAACACAGACGACGCGACACAGACTACATGAAACACAGAGACTAAATACACAAGAGGGATGATCAGGGGAAGTGGCCACACATGGGAACACAGCTGACACAGATAAACATAACAAGACATGGCAGGAGTAAACAACACTGACGGGAGACTGTCAAAGTAAAACAGGAAGTACACAGAGGTGCAAACAGGAGGAGAGAGAGAGCATGGGCATAGTGGGCTGGGGAAACATGGAATGAAACACAAGGAGGGGAGACGAGGGCTCACAGATACATAGAGGGGCACACGGGATAAAAGTCACAAGGGGAAGTCAAATAAGGAACACCACAACAGGACAACTCAGGAAACATGGCCTAAATAAGGAATGAAATACAAAAATACAAGAAACTAAGAATACTGGGCCCACATGGCCCAGGACCATGACATGTTTTCCTTTAGTACGAACAATCTATCTGCCGATCTAGCAGTCCGTCACTGGTCTCTCAATCTCCCGTTGAAGAGCCGTGAGCTTCTCCAAGATCTTATCCGTGCTGCTTCAATGAGCCCATTTTGAGAAGTTACAACCCATCCCATCGCTTCAATCCCAGCGGGCAGCCTTGTGGGGTTTTGAACAGCCGATTCCGCTTTCTTTAATCTTCAATAAGCCGAGGCCAAGCCAGCTCCGATCAGCAAGAACCCCGTTATCATCTCAGTTCACTTCATCATAAACACATCATCGCATTCTGTGTTATGATTTGCTTTTGTGTTAGACGAGGTTTGTGGTCTTACCACGTGTGTCACCAGCCGCGTCTTGGCTGTTTGCGATCATCCGTTATTATCATCAGCACACGTGAGCCGTGGAACATTTACACCTCCGTATGTGACACATCACTGTGACAGTGGAAGAAGTAGTTCTACTCATTTAGATGATCTCAATAAAGTAGTTTCCCACTGTGTTCCTGTTAATGACAAACTACAAATTTAGCGCAAATTACTAAAATATCAATATTTTAATTGGAGAATCAATTATAAAACACAAATATCTGCTATTGGACGGATGAGTATCAATCCACACAGGATCACACAATAACAGCAGCATACACACAATCAGGTTTTAACAACACATGTTTTATCTTAAACCTTCCAGTGCATCATGTTTTGACTTCCTGATGATATTCTGGTCATAAACAGGTGGACTTATTTTAAACCAGTGATTGATTTTTCTTGACAGCTTGAAGCAGAAGAGCACTTTAACTGTTTTACGTGAGAGAAATAAGCCTGTTAAATATAATACTGATGAATTCACACAGCCTGGCCTCGTTCTTCTTCGTTGGTCCTCGGCTCCTCAGGGACGTCTGGAGGCTGCAACAGAAGAAGAAGACAGCAGCAGACAGGTCGGTGCTGATAAACAGGCTCAAACTCCAAATCATGACAAGTGATGCAAACAGAGAAACGTTTGTGATGATTCAATAATAATAATGGATTGGATTTATATAGCGCTTTTCTAGGCACCCAAAGCGCTTTACAATACCACTATTCATTCACTCTCACATTCATACACTGGTGGAGGCAGCTACAGTTGTAGCCACAGCTGCCCTGGGGCAGACTGACAGAAGCGAGGCTGCCATATCGTGCCATCGGCCCCTCTGGCCAACACCAGTAGGCAAGTAGGGTAAAGTGTCTTGCCCAAGGACACAACGACCAGGACAGAGAGCCCAGGGATCGAACCGGCGATTCCCAACCCCCTGAGCCACGGTCGCCCCATTCAGATAAAAAGAGACTCGGTGTTCAGAGGAAGGATGACGGTCTGACAGAGAAAGCCATCTGTGACCGTTGCTGAGGCTTTTTCTCATCCTCAGTACTGACAGTGTTTGTGTAATTACTCTCACTGCCAGAAGGGGGAGACACAGCTCCAGCCTGCAGGGAGAAACACTGCAGCTCTGGAGTTTATTTCATGAACATCACCTCTGCGTCTGCCTCCATCAAATCGGTGAAAATCACAAAATGTCAGATGGGGGTTTTTCCAACCGCCCACATCCACAACTCCTGTGTGTCAGCTTATATCCATCATGTACACTTTATGTAATAATGTGACTCACCTGAACTGCCACAAGTCTCTCAGCTGTCTGCTGCTGACCCTCTCCTGACCTGCACACAACACGTCCTGTACACAATCAAGAACAGTTAGAGGTGAATGAATTTACATTATCTAAAAAATACTGATGAACTAGTTATTCACCCTGAGACAGGATATTTCTAATTTTAGAGATGTTGCACACATGGATGAAAGCAGTCCTACATATTTGTTTAATATGTGCGTTGAAGGACACGTCCTGGTCAAAAAGTGCTCACAGAGTTACGGCATCTGGTTAGACAGTTTCTAAAGTTTTATGGCTGAGTTCAATAACATCAGCTTTATCTGAATAAAGAAGCAGGACATCCGACCGGTGGCACTGACGTCACATCTTATGAAGACTCTAGAGCGGCTCTTCCTCAACTTCCTCCGACCACAGGTACAACATGCCCAGGACCCACTACAGTTTGCATACAAGGCGGGTGTCGGAGTGGAGGATGCCATCCTGTACCTCCTACACAGAGCCCACTCACACCTGGATGGGGGAAAAGGCACGGTCAGGATCCTGTTTCTTGACTTTTCCAGTGCCTTTAATACCATCCGGCCCTGTATGCTTCAGGAAAAACTGAACAGGATGGAGGTGGACCCCTGCCTAGTGGCTTGGATCTCCGACTACCTCACCGACAGACCACAGTACGTCAGGCTGAAGGACATCACGTCTGACACTGTGGTCAGCAGCACAGGAGCACCACAGGGAACTGTGCTGTCCCCTCTTCTCTTCACCCTGTACACCTCTGACTTCTGCTACAACTCTGAATTATGCCACATTCAGAAGTTTGCAGACGACACGGCCATCATGGGGTGTATCTGGGATGATCAGGAAGAGGAGTACAGAAGTCTGGTGAGGAACTTTGTCGCATGGAGTCACACAAACCACCTGCAACTCAACACCTCAAAGACTAAGGAACTGGTTGTGGACTTCGGGAGGTCTAGAGCAGGTCCACTGCCGGTTCAGATAGAGGGGGAGGAGGTGGAGGTGGTCAACAAGTACAAGTACCTCGGGCTGTGGGTGGACAATAAACTGGACTGGTCATGCAACACAGAGCACCTGTATAAAAAAGCCCAAAGCCGACTGTACTTCCTCAGGAGGCTGAGGTCTTTTAACATCTGCAGGAAGCTCCTGAGGATGTTTTACCAGTCGGTGGTTGCTGGAGTACTTTTCTATGCTGTGGTGTGCTGGGGGAGCAGCACAGCAAAGAAGGACTCATGCAGGCTGTAGAAACTGATCAGGAGGGCTAGCTCTGTGGTCGGCATGAAGCTGGACACTCTGGTGACAGTGGCAGAGAAAAGGACACTAAAGAAACTGCTGGACATTATGAACAATGCTGGGCATCCTCTGCACACGGCCATAAACAACCAGAAGAGTCTGTTCAGTGACAGGTTGCTTCTCCCAAAGACAAGAACTAACAGACTTAAAAACTCCTTTGTCCCACACGCCATCAGACTGTTTAACTCCTCTCTGGAGGGGAGAGGGAGGGGAAACAGGAGGACAAAGGTGTGAGCAGCTTCAAGTTCCTGGGAGTCCACATCTCCGAGGATCTCATCTGGACGACCAACTGCTCCAAGCTGGTCAAGAAGGCTCACCAGCGCCTCTTCTTCTTGAGGACTCTGAGGAAGAACCACCTGTCCTCAGACATCCTGGTGAACTTCTATCGCTGCACCATCGAGAGCATCCTGACCAACTGTATAACAGTCTGGTACAGGAACTGCTCTGCCTCGGACCGGAAGGCGTTGCAGAGGGTCGTGAAAACTGCCCAGCGCATCGCCGGAGCACCACTTCCTGCCATAAAAGACATCTACAGGAAGCGGTGTCTGAAAAGGGCTGGGAAAATCATCAAAGACCCCAGCCACCCATCACATGGACTCTTCACCCTCCTGCCCTCTGGGAGGCGCCACAGGAGCCTCTGGACTAAGACCACCAGGTACCGGAACAGCTTCTTCCCCACAGCTGTCAGACTCCTGAACTCTGCCTCCTGACATCTGACCCACGTTAACTCATGGACTGAACATACACACACACAATGGACAACTGTACCCTCAAACACAATAATAACATGGACTGAACCACCACTCACAACCACTAGCACTTTATATACCTCTGTAGGAATTATATCTCACTTATCTTAACTGCACTACTGTATAGCTCTGTGTAAATAATCATTCTGTACATTCGATAATTTTTAACCCTACAACTGTTTACAACTTGCATAGTTCCCATTTCTGTATAGCTGTATATCTCAGATTCTGTAAAGTTATTTATTTCATATTCTGTATAGTTTTTCATATTTATATCCTGTTCATAGCCTGTACATAGCTTGTACTCACTACAGCCTGTACATACTTATAGTTATAGAATATTCACAACATACTTCATACCGTGTACATTATAACATAATAGACCCATTTCTGTAATATACTTACATATCTATATTATTGCTAATATATATTGTAATATATCTATATCACTAAAGCACTTCTGGATGGATGCAAACTGCATTTCGTTGCCCTGTACCTGTGCATGTGCAATGACAATAAAGTTGAATTCTATTCTATTCTATTCTATTCTATTCTATTCTATTCTATTCAAAGGAGGGGGAACAACTAAGCTGTAGTGCCTCTTCACCTCACTGTGCAATACCTTTTGTGCAATACTTTTTGTTAATAGTCAACGGTGCAATAGACTCCATACTTGAAATGTGCAATTCACTTGTATTTTTATTTTTATTTTATTCCTATTTATTCTATTTATCCCCTTCGTATATTTTATTTATATATGTCTCTGTATTTATTTATATATATGTGTGTGTGTGTGTATGTATATGTGTATGTATGTATGTATGTATATATATGTATATATATATATATAAAATATTCTGCAACTGTAACTTCTGTCGGTGCTGTGCTTTTTTGGAACCGAATTTCCCAGAGGAACCCACCCGAGGGATTAATAAAGTTTTATTTTATCTTATCTCTTATCTTATTAGAGGTCATCCAGGTCTTTATGTCTTCAAAACTTTACATTAGCTTCACAAATTTGTGTCGTCCGGCTTTGCAGATACATATAATTGTGCGTCATCTGCTGTGATATACAGCGCAGTGACAATCTATGCCATATAATGTATAACATACACAGTAAAATACATTTAATAGATGAGGTGAACTGAATGGTTCGAGCACATGGTTCCTGTGGTGCTTCGTGACTAACGTTTTTATGTGAGGAAGACTAACAAGTGTTGTGCTGCTCTCTCTCTGTCCCGTCATGTGATATTTTCTACTTGATAAGGTTTCTTAAAATGTTTGTTCACAGTCAACTTTGACCTGTGGTACTATGAAAGTAGGTCAAACAGTTAGGCAACCCAGGCACTCCTCAAAAGTTCATGTATGAAAAATGACTGTAAAGAAACAGACGGAGGGAGGAGAAGAAAACAGAATGATGAGTGGGTGTAAGTTACCTTTGAGTATTACTGATGCCAGAAAGAGGATGAGCACTGTGTGAGCGCTGAACAGAAGCAGACGGGCAACTGTCAGGTTGTCCACTTTGTCCAGTTTGACTCCTGTGAAAAAGATTTGACATTTCTGAAACTGAATATTAACTTTTTTATAGAGATTTGACCACCTCCCTTAAGAGAATAACTTGTCTCCCATTGGATCACGTGAACACACCATTTCCTCTCCGGCTTACAAGGTATCTGCTCGTCACAGTGCTGTGACATACCTGTGGTTTGTTTCTACACCGTAGCCACAACCAACCAACCATTTTTATTTCTATAGCACATTTAAAAAGGACAGTTTCTAACAAAGTGATTCACACAAAAACAGTTATAAAACAGTTACAGTTACATAGCACAAATGCAGACAGAACTAATTTCCTTCAAAGGCTAGTTGGAACATGAGCAGCCTAATTAAGCTGCAGTGGAGGCTTAAAGTCACTGCAGTGGCTCCACTGAATAAAGAAACAGCTTCTTTCAGAGAGGAACACCAACCTGCCTCCACCTGCAGGCTGTGCGGCTCAGAGAGAGTCTTCATGTTGGTCTTCAGAGCACAGGTGTAGTTCCCAGAATCCTCCACCGTCAGAGAGCTCAGCTGGAGGGAGGAGCCTGTTTCTGACAGGATGCAGCCATCTTTGAACCAGGTGACCTCCAGGTGATGAAAAGTGCAGACTGAAGCACAGAGCAGTGTGACGTTTTCTTTTTTTCTGAACTTGTTATCATCACCGGAGCTGATTATTCTCATCTGAATCCCATCTAAAATGAGAATATAGATCAGTTTGACTTAAAGACACATTAATGATGAATATTAGTCTTAGACTGAGGAGATTGTTGTCACCAGTAACTCTGACAGTCACTCCTGTGCCGTTAGTAAAATGTCCCCCACGATGATTAACTCCCATCCTGAAGGAAAAGCTTGCGTTGTCTCTCTGCTGAACATCTCTGATCTGTAAAGTGCAGTTTGTCTTCATGTCTCCCAGATATTGATAACGAGGATTCTTGTTTGTTGAATCACTGTCGTACACAGATGGTTTGGTGAGCTGATAGAGCTGATAGCAGTGGCTCTGATACCAGAGGACTCTGACGATCTTTAGTGGGACTTCTCTTCCTCTCTGATCGACAGACTTAGGTGGTGTGAAGGTGCAGGGGAGGGTGGCAGTGGATCCTGTGACAGCACAGGTAGACGTGAGAGGATAGTTCACAGTTTGACCCACAGCACCTAAAGAAGAGCAAACACAGAGCTGAGATTCAAACACAGTGACTCAGCCTGGGAAAAGAATAAAGCTGGAAAAATGCTGCTAAATAGCAGAGATCTGTTTGTTGGTGGCAGGATGTCTTCTGTGTTCACTTCCTGCCACTTGATTTAATTTAGTACCACACACAACCATGAGACAGGGTGCAGATGATACATTTCTCACACTGCAGAACTGTGGTAGTAGCACTGTCACCTCACAGCTAGAAGGTTATTGGTTTGAATCCCATCCTTTCTGTGTGTTTTCATATTCTTCGTCATCTCTTTGGGTTCTCTCTGGGTACTCCAGACTGCTGACAGGTGGGTTAATTGACTGCAGGTGTGAATGTGAGTGTGCATGCCTCTCTGTGTGTTTTCACGGACTCTGGACACCTGTGTACTGTCTCACCTCCACCCCTCTGCAAACCTGAACTGGATAAGTGAAAGAATCTGTATAGATGGATATCTTTGCACCAGTTAGCTGATGGTCGAAGGAAAATGAGGCAAGCATGTCACTCTAAGAGCTATTGTTTCTCCAAGCTGACTGTAAACATGAATATTTCTTTTAAAAATCAGTTTGTGAGGACCTGCTTGTTGACTCAACAATGTTCAGTTAATTGCAGCTTAAACATCCTTCACTGTGCTGCACACATGCACACACTAGGGCTGGGTTTTTGTAATCGATTCATCGATTAAAATCGATTCTGGCTTGGATAACGTAAAATCGATTCATTAAAATCCTGAATCGATTTTTTAATATAAATTTATTTTGCCCGAAATGCCAGAATCTCAGGTGACATCTCACAAAATTTCAAGAACCACCAAACAGTTAAGACAGTAAATGAGAGCAGGAACACGGCTTCTGCACAAAGACGTAAACACACAGCGCGACCCGCAGATCAGAATCAGTGAGATGTCGCCTTTCTCACAGTCGGGGCTGAAAGCCGACAGCTCGCTGACTCTGATCTGTCGGCGCTTTGTGTTCACGTCCTTTATGCGCTGATTCTAAAGCTGTTAGTTTGATGTCTCTCCAAACAATATTGACCGAACCAGCAGCAGAAGAAGATCCAAACTACGCTTCACATAAACATCGTCATGAATTCACTCTTTTACTGTTTTGCTTCCACCGCGATGCACAGCTCCCTCTCTCTCCCTCTCTCTCTCTGTTTTCTGTATTATTCGCTTGCTTGTTACGCACCAGTCTACTGTTGCTTACAGCGCTGTCGGCCGCTGTTTTTTTCCCTTTTACATTCTTCCAAAAAGAAAACCTCATTTCTGCTGTTCAATACTGAACAAATTTAAACTTTTTAAAATTATTCAAAATGCAAAATGCTTAGCCGTGTCTCTAATAAAACCGCTGTAACTTCAGAGGTAATGTTCATATGTTGATTAATGGTTTTCTTTCGTTTTTGATGTACTGCAGAATATTTTTATAAAATCCCAGAACAGGAAAATCTCCTTCATGTTTTTCTGTGTTTTATCTTCAGTTACTTTGACACAAAGGCCTCTGCTGTGACGCTCACACCTGTGATAAAGTCTTGCGTGTGTCAGCTTCCTTTTTATTGATACAGAAATATGTAAATGTACTGATCTGAATTATATTTCTTTTTTTTTTTTTTTTTTTTTTTTTCTAAATGACATCAGAAACAGCAGTATGCGACATTACGTGATGGCAGAGCTTCAGTTCATCCTTTGTCATTTTTTTTTTTTTTAATAAATAGGACAGGGGGAATGAATGAGAGAAAGAGGGGGAGAGAAAGAAAGAAAACCAAAGGGGAGAAGAGACGGTGAGAAGGGGGGGGAAGAGAGAGAAAAAAAAAAAAAACTCCTGGGTCACCTGTATGGAGAAAAAAAAAACAAACAAAAAAAACAAACAGAGGAGACAGCAAACAACAAAGAGCAACATAATAATAGAGAAAACAAAGCACCATCACAATAAACTAGCTAGTCATAGATACCAGTATTTACTAAGTAATAAACGATATTGTGCAGCACGCAAGATAGACAGCGCACAGTGTGCTTTGAGGCAGCAGCCAAGAAAGCTTTAGTCCGCGTCTGTGAATACCCATGTGTGCATACCTGAATTATATTTCTGACTGTCAAAATTTCCCAGATTTAAATCGAATCGTGGATCGAATCGATTCGGGACCTTGTGAATCGGAATTGAATCGATTCTAGAAATCAGTGACGATACCCAGCCCTAATGCAAACAAGGAGTGTGCTTGTTAAAGTGGACAAGAACCAGCAGGGGGCAGTACAGTAAACCAGCTTTAATCGGTTTAACATCACACAGCTGTTTGACAGAGGAGAAAGGAAACTGATCACACCAACCTGTCTCTCCCGTCACCTGCAGGCTGTACGGCTCAGAGAGAGTCTCCATGTTGGCCTTCAGAGCACAGGTGTAGTTCCCAGAATCCTCCGCCGTCAGGAAGTCGAGCTCAAGAGAGGGGCCGGTCTCTGAGAGGGCGTGGCCATCTTTGAACCAGGTGACCTCCAGCTGGTGGAAAGTGCAGACTGAAGCACAGAGCAGTGTGACGGTTTCACCTCTGCTCAACTTTTTATCGTCACTGGAGCTGATTATTCTCATTTTAGTCGAATCTAAAAGGAGAATAACAAACTTCATTTGGGACTGTAAACTGTGTGACAACATTTCTGTAGCATTCTTGTTTGAAGACAACTTAAAAAGGATAAAACAAACCGGAAATGGCTGGAAATCTGTAAATCCAAAACAAATCAATAGATTTATAGATTTCATGGAGGAGACTTGTGTCGGTGTAATACTAAAACCATGTGTTAAGACTCATGTGCTGTCCAATGTGCTGAATTCATAACAGTTTCATTAATTTAATACAGGATGTATCAGAATTGATCATTTGATTTCAGAAGAATATGAAGTTTTACATCCAGTCCCATTGTGTCCCCCTCTGGACCAGTGTTGTGTATGACCACGTTACATTTTTCAGTAATTCACTAATTTCAGTAATTACATTACAGTTACAATCATGTTGTTACTCGCATTACGACAGTTCAGTTATCTGCGTGCCAGGTTGCGGTGTACTGCTAACACAACTTTGGCTCTTTGCAAGCATCTGCACAGATGCCATGTTAACGCAACGCTAGACAACAATTCAGAGGCCGTTTCTCAGTAGGCGTGCTCATGTTTACTCGTCTTATTGTGGACTTGTGGCTCTATTGAGGGCACATCCGTGATGAAGTTGGGTGAACTTGGTGCAGCTAAGTATCCCAGACTGCATTTTGTCTGAAACCCAAAAAGCAGCAATGGCAGATGAGAGCGGCTAAAACTATAAGAAAGTTTGAAATATGCTTATTTGACACAATATATGCACATGTAAATCTCAAATATCTCACCGATTTATCAAAACACTGCTTATTTGCAAAATTGCTCCAACATTTTCAGAGATGTTTGTTCCTGCTGGTCTCGCAGCCCAGATGTCCCAGCAGTTGTCTGTCGAGCAGGAAGTCGAGGCTCGCGAGAGCGTTTCACTCCCAGCACGTAGTTTTCAAACCCCGCACTGACTTTCACCACTCAGTGAAAGTTAAAGATGATACAAGTCACTTAGACGATTTCCAGCTGTTATTGTTTGCGTTATTTGTTCCTGAGCAAGTTTGTCTGAGATCAAAGTTAAGATGAGACTTTATTATTTTAACAGATTATTCTGAATTTCAACTAATATGAAAATATTTCATCCAGGAGGAAATCCGAGCCTTTTGAGCAGGAGCAGAAACATCTTGAATATGATGCTGATGCTGTATGTGGAGCTCCGTAAGACTTCTTCAGAAATAATCAAATTATGTTTTTACTATTTATTCGACTCTATTCTAAACACCAGCCGTCTGTTGTAAGTTTGAGGAGTCTAAAATCATTCTAACATCTGACATGTGAGCTGTGCACACATGTATGATCACCCACGACTGCAGACCTGCTGATGGTTCCAACATCATCATTAAGTGTGCAGACAACACCACGGTGATTGGCCTCATCAACGACAACAATGAGGCCGCCTACAGGGAGGAGGTGGATCATCTGGCTGAGTGGTGCGACACAAACAACCTGCTGGTTAACACTGAGAAGACCAAGGAGCTCATCGTGGACTACAGGAGGAATGCTGACCCACATCCAACCATCTACATTAAGGGGACGGCTGGGAGTCCACATCTCCGAGGATCTCATCTGGACGACCAACTGCTGCAAGCTGGTCAAGAAGGCTCACCAGCGCCTCTTCTACCTGAGGACTCTGAGGAAGAACCACCTGTCCTCAGACATCCTGGTGAACTTCTATCGCTGCACCATCGAGAGCATCCTGACCAACTGTATAACAGTCTGGTACGGGAACTGCTCTGCCTCGGACCGGAAGGCGTTGCAGAGGGTCGTGAAAACTGCCCAGCGCATCGCCGGAGCACCACTTCCTGCCATAAAAGACATCTACAGGAAGCGGTGTCTGAAAAGGGCTGGGAAAATCATCAAAGACCCCAGTCACCCATCACATGGACTCTTCACCCTCCTGCCCTCTGGGAGGCGCCACAGGAGCCTCCGGACTAAGACCACCAGGTACCGGAACAGCTTCTTCCCCACAGCTGTCAGACTCCTGACCAGAGATGGGCAGTAACGTGTTACGCGTTACTGTAATCTGATTACTTTTTTCAAGTAACGAGTAAAGTAAGGGATTACTATTGCAAAAACGGTAATTAGATTACCGTTACTTTCCTGTAGGAACGCTGCGTTACTGCGTTACTAAAACCGTGATTTTTTTGCGAGAATGTCTCAGGACAGTGACGTAAGCGAGTGCGACGTTAGTGACAACAGCTGTGTGCAGATCAACAATGGATCACATATCGAGTGCAGAGAGAGTATGAGCGTGCAGCGTTTAAAGCGTGGAAGTACTGACCTTACTTTGAGTTTGATTCCATAAAAAGTGACAAAAACATTAGTGTCCGCTGTGCGTGGGAAGAAAACTTCTTTTTACAGCGAAAAAACCCCTAAACTTCCAACAAGCACAGAGTAGCTACGACGTAATGGGAAACTCACAGAGAAACTCACGGATTCTTCCACTGACCGCGGCACACCTGCACCAGGGTAAACCTCCGCCTACCCCACTCCTGCTTTACAGATGAAAATAGAGCAACAGGACCGCTGAGTCTGTGACTTTATTTATTTTCTGCTGTGTTTTACTTGCATCTATTTGAAAGACTGAGTGTAAACACAAAAATATTTTATTTTATGTGCTGGAATGTGCAGAAAATAGGTTTAAATGTTAAACTAATTTATTCAAGTCAGAGAATGTTGCAGATAATTTAATGTTTGCTTGATGCATAAAGTTAAAAGATTAAAACTAATAAAACAAGTTTTAAAAAGAGACTTTTCCATTTGATTACATTTTGTATGACGGATTATGCAGCAAAAGTAACTAAGTAACTAAGTAATTAATTATTTTTGAAAATAAGTAATCAGTAAAGTAACGGGATTACTTTTTTGGGGAAGTAATCAGTAATTAGTTACTGATTTTTTCAAGTAACTTGACCAACACTGCTCCTGACATCTGACCCACGTTAACACGTGGACTGGACACACATGCACACAACCACCTATAACTGAACACACACAATGGACAAAAACAAACAAATGGCCAACTGGACCCTCAAACACACAATAATAACATGGACTGAACCACCACTCACAACCACTAGCACTTTATACAGCCTCTGTAGAAACTATCCACATATCTCACTGATCTAAACTGCACTACTGTATGATTCTGTATAAACAATCATTACAATATGATAATTATAATTCTAACACTGTTTATAACTTGTATGTTTATATTTCATATTTCTGTATAGTTTTCATATTTATAGCTTGTATACTCACTACAGCCTGCACATACTTATAGTCACAGCATATTCATGACATACCTTCATACCATGTTCATTGTAACAGACCCATTTCTGTAATATATCTATATTGTGGCTAAAGCACTTTAATAATAATAATAATAAACTTTATTTATAAAGCACACTAAAAAACCAAGGGTATACCAAGGTGCTTGACAAAAATAAAATAGGAAAAGGGAGATGGGAGGGAAAAGAGAAAGGACCTGGCACGTATCAATTATAAAAACCTTGACAATCATAAGATATAAAAGTAGTTCACAAGCATAACGGATAAAAATGTACCAACGCATCACCAAGTGTTAACTAGGTGGAAAGGCAAGATTAAACAAATAAGTCTTCAGCCGTGATTTAAACAGTGGCATAGAGTCAGACGCCCGGATAGCGACAGGAAGGTTGTTGCATAAGACCGGGGCAGCTACAGCAAACGCGCGGTCACTGCAAGACTTCAGCCGAGAACGAGGTTGCTCCAGAAGAATTTGGGTAGCAGATCTAAGTGCTCTGACAGGAGAGTGTAACCTGAGAAGCTCATTGAGGTAGCTCGGCGCCAAATTATTAATGGTTTTGTAGGTGAAAAGTAATATTTTAAATTGAATGCGGTATTTAATTGGAAGCCAGTGCAAGCCAGCAAGAACAGGAGTGATGGAAGAAAACTTCCTGCTACCTGTCAAAAGGCGTGCCGCCGCATTCTGGACAGTCTGCAATCTAACGAGAAGGGTGGAGGAAAGGCCAATGTAAAGAGAGTTGCAGTAGTCCAACCTGGAAGTCACGAATGCGTTTTTCCAGGTCAATGTGCGGAATACAGCGCTTAGCCTTAGAAATGAGGCGCAGCTGATTAAAACTAGACCTCACAACAGCAGACACTTGCTTGTCAAATTTAAGCGAGCTATCCAGTAGTATGCTCAAATTACTGGCATAATCAGAAGGAGAGCTAGCAAAAGGCATCAGAGCAGCGCACAGTTGGTCGCGGGGGATTTTACTATCAAACACCACGATCTCCGTTTTCTTTTCGTTCAGGACAAGAGAATTACTCTTGAACCAACCTTTAACCTCACGCATGCATTCACGAAAATAGTGAAAAGACAGCAAGATCGTCAGATCCATTTCTGGATGGATGCAAACTGCATTTCGTTGCCTTGTACTTGTGACGTGTGCAATGACAATAAAGTTGAATTCTATTCTATTCAATGATATTTTTTATTAAGAGATGAAGTTTCACTCATGTAGGGACTGCTGATACTTAACTTTTGTTTGTTGAACTTGTGATGATTTATTATAAATTCTTCATTACTGCTGGTGTTCGACTCTATGACGCTGTTAGATCAGATTCATCTCTGGATGTTATAACACAGACTAAAGTCAGCGAGGTGTTCTTTAGATCACTAACAACATAAATATAATTGCGTCTGTAGATTCCTAATATAATTTATAGAGCAGGTGTTTGTGCTGGCACAACATGTTCTTACCAACAACTCTGACAGTCACTCCTCTGCTGATATTAAAATGTACTTTTGTGTGATCGACTTCCATCCTGAAGCAAAAGGTTGCGTGATCTCTCTGCTGCACGTCTCTGATCTGTAAAGTGCAGTTTGTCTTCTTGTCTCCCAGATATTCAAAGCGTTGTTTGTGATTTTTTGAATCACTGTCGTACACAAATGGTTTGTTGAGCTGACAGAGCTGATGCTGCTGGCTCTGATACCAGACGACTCTGATGAGCTCTGGTGGAACTTCTCTCCCACCATCACTGAAAGTCTTCAGAGGTGTGAAGGTGCAGCGGAGGGTGGCAGTGGATCCTCTGACAGCACAGGTAGACGTGAGAGGATAGATCACAGTTTGACCCACAGCACCTAAAGAAGAGCAAACAGCGATTAGAACGCAGTGACTCAGTTTAGAGACAGAAAATACAGACTGCTGTGTGTGAAGCTCTAAAACAAAGATTCAGTTCAAACAATCAGATCTTTGAATCTGGAATCAAACACAATCAAAAAGTGTCCCCAGATCAACTTCAGATTTAAAGATTCAAACGACTTTGATTCTGTGTTCTCGTTCTGTTGTTTCTGAAAGAGATAACATTTCATACGCGTGAAACAATCAAGATATCACGAAAAAGGCTTCAGTCACAGTGGAGTTTGTTCTTTAACAACAGTTTGATGTGAAAACAGAAGCTTCATCATCATCACAGTCAGAGTCTTACCTGCCAGCAGGAACAGGAGCCCCCACAGCCTGTTTTTGTCCCAAACTGCCATCCTTACATTTTAATGAGCCGACTGAATGACTTCTTTAAACGTGTGGTCAGCAGTGCTGATGAAGACACTGACTGACATCGTCTTAGCTTTGTGGTCGTGTCTCATTTCCTCTGATTTTTTCGAGACCTTTTGAGAGCATTACCTGTTACTGAAACATGTCATGAAGTGCAGCTTTGGTGAGGAGGAACTTAAATGTTTGAGTTTCACTGGTAGCTCTATGAAATGCACCACAGAGAGGTGGTCGTGCTGGTAAACAGGCAGTGAAGTCTGATTGATTTCAACCAAGAGGAAAAGAAGCAGAAGCGGTTTGGCTAAAAATAATTCAAAGTAAAACCAAAAAAAACATCAAATCCATCATCAGTGTCACAGTCAGAGTCTTACCTGTGAGCAGCAACAGGAAACCCCACAGAGTGTTTTTGTCCCAAACTGCCATCCTTACGTTATAAGGAGCCGATTTATTGTTTGAATGTCTGCAGCAGGGCTGATGAAGACACTGACAGACAGACTGAGACGCTGGTTTGTCTTTGTGGTCAGTGTTTCACTTCCTCTGTTTGTTCAAAGCTTTACTGTTACAGTACTGTTGAAGTACAGGGAGGAGAAAACAACAGGTTAGAGCTTCACTGCTAGAAGTGCAAACAGCTGAAGAGAGGGGGAAACAAGAAGGGCTTTACTTTTACTTTCACATGTTTATTGTTTCATGTCACTAATTATTATCATGCTTCTGGCATTTACCTTCATGCTCGTGCTCTCATCCTGCTGAAGAAACCTCGCCCAAAATATGTGGAAGCCTCATGAGTCCTTCAACAAAGAAAAGCATTTTAGGTGCTGTTAAAGAACCTGGGTAAATATAACAAACCTCAGAAGACAGAAAACACATTTAAATCAATTTCAGTATTCGACATTTATATAGTTAAACAGAGCAACACTCGCCTCAGGGTGACAGGGATTCGCAGACGTGGTGATTCACAGACAGATGAAATGTAAATGTAATGTAAACAGAACTGGTCTCAGCACAGAAGCCGTTGTTGTGCCCTCTCACACACCACAGCAGACCTGTATGTTTGTCTGCTTTTTGTTTTTGGAGTGCGTCGTGTTACAGATGTTAGCTAACCAGGAATCTTCTACAGCAGGGGTGTCGAACTCCAGGCCTCAAGGGCCGGTGTCCTGCAGGTTTCAGATCTCAGCCTGGGTCAACACGCCTGAATCACATGGTTAGTTCAAGAACTCAAGTTCAAGACATGTTGAGGAGGTAATGTAGCCATTTAAATCAGCTGTGATGGATCAAGGACACGTCTAAAACCTGCAGGACACCGGCCCTCGAGGCCTGGAGTTGGACACCTGTGTTCTACAGGAAACTGTTTTGATGTTTCTATTTATAGACCGCATGGTAGAAAAGTAAAGGTTGGAGGGAAGATGTCAAAGCAATGACTAGCAGCCTTCTTACTTCACAGGTATGAGTGGAAAACAGATCGAGACAAGTGGCCAGCTGTGGTTTTTACAGCTGCAGGAGGTGGCCTCTCACCTACTAAGAGGAGGAAGTGGTGTTTATGGTAAACGCCCCTGAGCTAAGTGCCTTTATTTACATGAATGATTCACAGGTTAGTGCAGAACGTATTGTTTGTTATTAGGTGTGACGTGACTAAATCCTCCCAAACTTCAGGATCCTCTCTTGTCCTGTCTAATCTTAGGTTAGGAAATCCTCAATAACACCTCAGCCTCGTGTCTCTAAGTTGGTCTCCAAACCGCTCAGCTGTCCCTCTCATCTCCTCATTTCTAATTTCTGTCCAATCGGATCACCTCCAGTGAAAATCTTAACGACTTCAGCTCTGTGTTTCTGTTGGTGCTGAAATATCTCAGGTAGTCTGCTCATAGCTCTTTAGGAATCAACTTATTGGTGATTATTTTTGCTATTTGTTGTAGATTTAATTGAAGAAATAGTCGAAGAGTTCAGCTGAGAACAAATGATGTTTAGGCGACACAGAAAAACCTTTGTGGATCCTGGAGAACTATTAAGAAACTCTGGCTCCCTGGAAGCAAACTATAAAGAAATGTGTGGTTACTTTACACTTTCCATAGTGCTGTATATGTACTCAATGATCACTAAAATAGAAAACACCCAGTGAGTGACAGTTCTCTGGGTGAAATGCTTTGGGGTACTGAAGGAATGCTTGGTCTCCTTCACGAGAAGGAAACAGTATCTTAAACTGCCGCCTGCACACTTTGCAGACGCATCTCTGAACACAGATAAAAACAGGAAACTGAGGCGACAGTTCACACAGCTTCGCCACAGTTGGACAGCAGACTCCTGGAAAATGTCGTCTGGTCTGATGAGTCTCGACATTTTCACGCTACACTTTGGGCTCATCAGTACCATCTGAGCATTATTCAAACATCACAGCCTCCTTGAGTACTCTGTGCAAAAGTTTTAGGCAGGTGTGAAGAATGCTGCAAACAAAGAAAGCTTTCAGAAATATAAAAGTTGAGCCATGAGTCCCATTCACAGAGAGTTAGGGAATGGCTGCAATCACAGCATTGTAAGATGGTGACAGATGTACCCTTAGGCCCCTCCTCCATTCAGAGATGGTCTTTCCCTTTTCACGTAAATGGCCTCTTTGACTCCGCCCTCAAACCAGCGCTCCTCCCTGTCCAGGATGTTACATCCTCATCATTGAAAGAGTGTCCACTGGCCTGTAGGTGTGCATAGACTGCAGAGTCCTGATGAGGTGGCTCTGCTGTGTTGTAGCCAGAGGTTGTTTGGTTTCCCCGATGTATAAATCCTGCCAGTCCTCCTACACTTAACAGCGTACACTATGTTACTCTGTTTGTGTCGGGGACCCGATCCTTGGGGTGGACCAGTTTTTGGTGCAGCGTGTTTTGGGGTTTAAAAGCCACAGAGACCCGGTGTTTAGAACAAATGCATCTCAGCTGCTCCGATACTCCTGACACGTACGGGATCACTACAGGTTTTTGCTTTGGCAGCAGTTGTCCTTCTCTCCTGGATCGGCTGGAGCTTTCTTTAGGCGCCTTCCCAGCTTTGACAAACGTCCAGCCGGGATAACCACATTTACTCAGGGAGGAGACAGAAGGATGTGAGGAAGCCTTCATCCACAGATGATCTGTGCTTAGTTCTCCGGGATGTTTGGAACAACCTACCAGCCGAGCTCCTTCAAAAACTGTGTGCAATTGGACCTAGAAGAAGGCAAAGGCTGGTCCCACCAGATATTGATGTGATTTCTCTTTTGTTCATTCACTGCATTTTGCTGATTGATAATAATAAATGATTAGCACTTCCATTTCTGAAAGCATTTTTTCTTTACAGCGTTTTTTCTCACCTGCCTAAAACCTTTCAACAGTTTTAGGCATGTAACATGTCACAAAGCTACAAACATCTCAAACTGGTTACTTGTTGGACAAGTAACTGAGAGCTGGATTCAGATTTCAGCCCAGTAGAGCACTTTTGAAATATGGTGGAGCAGAAGATTCACATCAGCGACCTGCAGCCTTTGTGTGATGCTATTATTAACCCCGATTCTTTTGTCCCCATGATAGAACAGAGAAAACCGACTCATAGTGTGTTAAAACATTTATATTTCTTTTTATTCAATCATCTTCCGGAAGAGAGACCCCTGCACAGCCCAAACGCCAGTTGCAGGATCTCTAACATTAGAATCATAAACTGTGCCTCATATAGGTTTTATTTTGGTACTTTACACGTCACACAGGTTCAAACATTGCTTATTTGGCAAAGTTCCTCTTTTCTGTGTCTTATCTATTAATATGCCTGTGCTGAGCAAAAGTCAAAAGTGGCCTTGCTCTACAAGCCTTCAGTACATAAAACAATATAATAGGAAAATAAGGATACTAAGGATATTGATTTCATGACACCATCTGTCCTTATGGACTAACGTCTCTGAGGAACGTTTCCAGCATCTTACTGAATCTCAGGACTAAGAGAGCTCTGAATGCAAAAAGGGTCCAAGCCAATACTAGCAGGGCATCGCTAATCAAGGGTCCAGTCAATATATCTGCTCTGTGACAGCAGGTAATAAAGTAATGGAGCAATATTCAGCCTGCAGCTTCCTGTGGTTAGCTGTTTACTGACAAATATGGGTCACCAACAGGAAGCGTCAGCCACATGTAAGTTATAACCTTCTCTCTGAGTGGGCACTTTGCATGTGACAACAGCTGAAACAGTACACAGTGCAGACTTAATCACAACGCTGCGACTCAACCACTTTGTTATGGAATCTGATTTAGAGCAGAGATTAGAAGCAGGAAATGCCTGCTGAGGTCGGTGTAAACCAGTGGAGGCAGGTTTACACCGACATTAACAGGTGTTAAGTGTTAAAGTTGACTTTAACATGAGTGCAGAGAGAAAATGTGATGTTCCAGCACTCCTTAGAAAGAGAGCGTGTGTGATTCAGTGAGTGATGGTGTTGAACGGGACTCTCAGTTACAGGTCAGTGGTTGATTTTGTCATCATACCATCAGATCTG